TTTTGTCCTCAACAGAAGCCACAAATAAGTCTATGATCTGAAACAATCATACCCAGATACTCGAAAAAAGAGCATGAAAAAAGATTATGCCACTCATTATTATCAAGAGCCATGTACACTCGACATTTAACATCCTTTTTATTCTTCCTTCCACTCCAAGATAAAGTATTACCCAAACTCGGAAATTCCAGCAGCCGACAATTCTTAATCATATTATTAAAGCTTAAAACAAGTATTTGCGTGACGAAGGACACCACCTTCTTTCTCCTGGTTTCCTGTGATTTCATTTAGATCTCCTATGATAAACCATGGATCATCTCTTACAAAACTGATCCTTGTTATTTTTCCCAAACATGATCACGAAGGTTCTGATTCAGTTCACCATAAACAAAGGAAATATATATCTGCTTACCTTTATACTTTGTTTCCACGTCAATAATTTGATTATTGGAAGATAAAAGATTCACCTTGTAAGTGGAATCATAAAAAAAACGCTAGTCCACCACTTCTACCTAACTGGTCGACCGTTTGTAGATGACTATAGCCAAAATGGAATTGAAAAGATTGAACAAAGTCAAATTTTGCTTCGTCTCAGACAGAAACAGAAACGTAGGTTTATGCTTATACCAAATTTTTCGCAAATAACTAATTGTTCATTTGCTACCCAGTCCTTGATAGTTCCAGCTTATAATTTTCATTGATAAAATATAAATCAAAACAATCTTCTCGGATCCTTAAAGACGAGATCCGACAATCATACCAAATATGCAACTATTTAAACCTCCAGGGGTCCTTTTAACCAAATAAACAGAGCAACAACATCCATACTCAACCAAAACCACATTATATATTCCATTCGAACCCATCCCATGTACAAACCCCCATCGAAATCTCGTTAACTCCCTACGATAATAAGATACAAATATCACCATAAACATCCCAAGTAACCAGCTCGAGCTCCACACTTGACCGATCAACTTAATATTATATTTCAAGAAACCACTACCTTCCGGCCAGCTCTTAAGGCAAATGAAATTTACCTCAATGAGAAAACCTGCATCACTCCTATATCTTTTCCTTCCACCCCTTTGCAAAACCTTGCCCATAAAACCATGTAAACCAATCCATTACAAATTGTACCACACGCAAAGTTGCAATAGCTATTTTCACCCCTTACTACCCTCAATATATTAAAACTCAGCTTATATGCCATCAATTCAAACCTAACATACTTATTTTGAAGAATAAATACCACACCACAGCAATCAAACTTTCCGAAAATCCCATCCTAACGTAAACCGTCATCATCACCTTAAAAAACCTGGAGTGGGCGCCAACAAAAATAAACAACATGACCTGTTAACATTATGAAGACAATCCCGTTCCCCCCCCCCCCCAAATCTCAACCCGTACTAAGAGAACCTTTTGTGGCTTCGAGTGTAAGTATATACATCGCTTGCACTCTTTGAAACACCTATTCCAAAATCATGACAAAAACAAACCCAAACTCCCTTTAATATTCATCTTCATGAACAAACATAATAACTCAACATAGACTGGGCCATGTTTTCGGGAAACACAGCACCATAAGTAATCTGAGACCATTCCATCCGAAACCAAGCCATATATCATGAACTTTGTAACAATCCTTAACTTGATACCAAAACCAACCGCGATAATCTCACCAATAACTCCTTCTCTTGGTAACCAAATCATGTCACCCCATCGTATCCAAATCGATTCCTCACCACTCCAGGGACATTTATACATAGACTGAAACATAGTACACACCAACAGGTAGTTATGTTCTCTTTTAGAGCAAAAGTCAGGGAAAAAAACATATCCATTTCTACTTATCACATTAATTAAACACCATGTACACTTCCAAATCAAAACTAAATTAGTGGTACCTAAGGAAACCACCGTTAGCTAAAAATGAACACCCCTAAAGGCATCATCTGTAACCGCAAGATAACAGTTTTATTTAAATCGTAACCATTCAACGGACACAATGCAGGAAATAGAAAGCAAACCAACCTTTATAGAATCAAGGGAGCAATAACTAGACAACCACAAACCGAAAAACTCAGACATGAAACAAAAGGATTTCATAGAAGAATCCCACATTATTTTAAATTTAAATAAAAATAAAAACCACCTTCCAGAGAGCTTACTTTATCGGGTTTCTTGGCTTTCAAAGACACCTTGTTTTGCCCTTTTCCTCCTATCTTGGCTATTGCCCTTGCCAGTAGTTGCTTACAGGGAGAGAGCAGTGTCTGAACCAGGCGCCTTTTGTTATTTCCTCCAGTTGTTGCAGGTCCCACCACTGCATCCTTCTTCTTAGTATCTTGATTAACACCATGCTTGACTGCGTCAACTTCTTCATTAGCTTCCTTAGCTACCACTTGCTTCTCCACCTGTGTCTCCTCTTCCAAGTCATCCAGAAAATAAGGAACTTCCCCCTGTTCCCAGTCCTCCATATCCTCACCATCCTCCATCAGAAAGTCCGAATCAGAAAGGGCCCAATCAATCATCATATTGGCGTCATCTAGCGCTTGAATTTTCATCATGTGCTCATCTCGCTTCTTCTCTGCAGCCTCCTCACCCAACTGCCCCTCATCAACCTTAAGCAACTCCTCCTTAGTCGACCCTTTTGTAAATCTTTCCTCCAAAGGTTCCAAAACAGGAGCATCTATAGAGGTTTCTTCAAACTTAAGAGCTTTGCGTGCCTTAGAGCTTGATCCATTTCCCACATCACCTCCTACTTTAGGCTGAATTCCACTAGGGGAACTAACAACACCTTGAAAGCATCACTCATTAATTTAGTAATATTACGAGAAGGAGACACCTTCTCACCATTTGAAATCTGATACGCTACTCTTGAGTTTGGAGTGTGCCTCTTGTTCCCATAACCTATGTACCTTCCATTCACCGTAGACCCTTCCCCACCATCATTGTTAAACCTCTCCTTATAGGGATGATACGATCCATCATACTTATAAGCTCCTTGTTTCTCCGTGACAATACCTTTACCCTTATCTTTAGGACCCCCTCTGCCCGCTTGAGACCGATTATGTTGTCCCTCCCTACGACCCCCATTGTACTGGCCACCATTATCCACAGTCCCCTTGTAGCTTGTAGCTTGTTGGCCCATCTCCGCAGACCCCCATAAGCTACACTTGAACTCACTTCCTTTACCAAACTAGGGCATCGAGATAGATCATGTGTTAAATAAAAAACACTCCCTGCAGTAGCCAACTAGCTTCTCGTGCCTAAGTGCCACCATAATCTCTACTCCTTCAAACTCCACTGCCGTCGAAAACACTAATGGCTTGAAACCATCTAATTCCACACGTACCCTTCCTTCTATCAAGTCCACTGGCCCCTGGATCTGACCGAGAGCTCCACCAACACTCCAAAAGGTCTGATCATCCAAGAACTGAAGCGGAATATCCATTATTCGAATCCAAAAGATGATCTTCGACGAATAGTTTGGCTCCAAGACCGGTCTCCATCTCACCAACAAAACCATCCCATGATCGAAATGAAATGGTTCCATTTTGATAACCTCATCAATATCTTCCTTCAAATCAAAGTCAAAGTGAAACCGTCCCATCCCCAGATCTTGGTCCGCTACTCTTCCCTCAACCCCCCAGAACAGTGGAAGAGTCTTCCTCTCTTGCTTCTGAGGCTTTGTCATCTCATTCTTCTTTTCACCAGACTTTGCAATCAATTGTCCTTGCGACATGATGCAAACAACGGAAACAACAAACAAATGAGAAATATAAGTAAGAAACTTGAAAGAAGCTACAAGTTGCGATGCTATAGACGGACATGACAACTGCTCTATATGTAGGACACACCCATAATACCTAGCCTCAGCTAACTCATTAATCCGAGGATACCAAATCTTTTCGCATAAACCATACAAATACTAAGATGGTCCATGTTGATTTTGCGAATCCTTAGCAATCTCATTGTTATTCCCTGTATCTCTGTACATTTCCTTACATCTATTTCTATCCCATTTAATGAAAATGACAACAGATTTACCCTTCCATTCCTTTCCCTGAAGATCCTTTAGATTAAACAAATCACCGTGGAATAGCCCTTTTTCCGATTCCAAATCAATGAAATCATTAGACACCGAAGATTTGAATCATACCTCATTAACCGATGGCAACACATATCGCCCAGCCAATTAGAGAGATCCTAGGGACCAATCTTCTTCGGATCCTTTCCATATACCACTTCCCATTCTTGTTCCATAATCCTCTGATTCCATAGATCTTCATCGGATCTAACTGAATCGTATTAGTCTAGGAGAATCTCCATCAGTAAATTACCATCTTTTAATTCCTAGATCCACCAAAACATTGGTTGAAGACAAAAATCATCACCAAAGAGATAGAGCCCATACAAATCCAAATCTCTAATGTAAATCACATCAACGAAATCTCAAAAATGCATCTCAGAATCGAATAACCGAAATCGTCTTTGAAATCACCATCAATAATAATGTGTTTTGTAACTTGTTAAAAAATAAGGGACTAAATTCTACATTGCCCCACTCACTACCATCTTCATTCTATTTTAACCCATCTTAAATTTGATTTTTTTTTCTCAAAGTTTAAATATAGTTAAAAAATCAATAACCCTTAATGAATCAGTATTATGTGTAATATGAATTACTAGAAACTACCTTGAATTACTTTGAATTACTAGAAACTACTTTAAATTACTAGAAACTACTATGAACAAAAAACAAACTACCTTGAACTACTAAAAATTACTACGAACAAAAAAAAAAGTGGGGCAATGAGAAAAATGGTGGGGTAGTTAGAATAGTTATTTTCCAACTGGAGTATATTAGAATACTTTCCAAATAAGAAGCATGGAAATTGTGCATAACACTAAAATGAATAACTCGGTTTGTTCGGTATACTAAGAAGAACCATGTGATTTGTGCCTGAGAGGAAAAAAAAAAAAGAGTAGGTTATTTGTAAATGGTCAATTCTATAAATCAAGAACGAGGTGTTGAAATTTGGTTTAAAATGAAGGGGTTTTTTTGTAACTTGTTAAATTTTAGTTACACGCGAGGAGCATGTAATTGGGTCACTTGTCTTCTCCAATCGGAATCTCACCCTGGCAAAAAAAATGGCGATGTGGGTATTCGGGTACGGATCTCTGATTTGGAAAACGGGTTTTCCTTTCGACGACCGTCTTCCTGGTTTCATCAAAAACTATCGCCGTGTTTTCCACCAAGGTCTTTTTCTGTATACTCTGAGCTTTTAACCTTCTGATTAATCTAAATATCTTTATAGACCAGAAAGTAATGTGATCTGTATAAATATTAAGGCAGTACTGATCACAGAGGAACTCCTGAGTTTCCGGGAAGAACAGTGACATTAGAGCCTGCACCTGGAGAACTCTGTGTAATTTTTATCTAATTAATATTTTGCATTATTGCCGCATAGTCCCTTGTTTTTATGTTTTGTTATAAATGGTAAAAACACACAGTGGGGAGTTGCCTACAAGATAACCAAAGAGGAAGACAAAAGAGATGCTTTATTAGTAAGTGATTTATTCTCTTTCATAAGCGTTTCTTTTTTGATTAAATATTTTAGTTTGTGTGATCTCTTTGAGGATTATTGCCTTGTCAGCATTTGGAAGTGAGGGAGAAGCAATATGATCAGAAGGAGTATCTTGATTTCTTTACAGTAAGTCCTGACTTATTCTAACTTCATATGCATGGGGTTACTGGTGATGACAATGGGTTTTTGTTTCAGAACCTTAATGATTCAGAAGCAGCTGTATCAGGAGTGATGGTGTAAGAAACAAATAGATTACGTGCATTACACTGACATATATATATTAAAGTAAAACGATGTCGAGACGTGTCTTCGTTTGTTCACTCAGATATATAGCTTCTCCTGACAAGAAAAGCAACAACAACTACTTAGGACCAGCTTCTCTTGAAGACATCGCCAAGTAGGCTGTTTTTGTTTTCTTTAAGGTTATTGCTATTGCCATACAGTAACATTGCATTTTGATCTTCGTTTATTGCTCTAATGCAGACAGATAGTAAAGGCGAAAGGGCCTTCCGGGCCAAACAGAGACTATTTATTCGGCCTTGAAGAGGCTCTTGTTCAACTCGGTAAAGAAAGAACCTTAATTTTCCCCATTTTACTCGAATGACTTTTGGGTTTTAGATTCTAAGATACATGGGTTGTTGCAATCAACCAGGTTTTAAGGATAAGCATGTCACAGATCTTGCTACACATGTTAGGCTCATTCTTTCAGAGACTCAGGATGCCGCCACCAAGGATGTCTAGACTCCCTTTTTTCTTTACCCGAAAAGAACAAAACTGAAATCGAGAAGAGATGCTGCTGCATTGCATTGCATCCCATATTCAGTGTGTTATTGCTATCAATCAACTCTATTCTTATTCATATATAATCACGTTGTTGGGAATAGTATCAATAAAAGGTTGTTCAGTGATTCAGAATATGATTCCTCTAGACGTAGGAGAATTTGTGGAATCACACACTAATCACTGTATCTGATGACATTAGTTGATAGTTGATATGCTTAATATTCATTCTAATCTCTAGTTTTTATTTTTTATTTTTTGAATTCAACTTTAGTTTCAAATTCCACTTGCCACAGTTGATATGCTTAATATTCATTCTAATCTCTAGTTTTTTTTTTTTTTTTTTGAATTCAACTTTAGTTTCAAATTCCACTTGCCACAGAATCATAAGTATAATTAAAAGTCGAGAAGAAAATAGGGAACAAACCGTCACTACTCAAAGTACAGCAGATACAGATCTAAGCTAGAATAGATAATGGAGTTATTAAGGTAGAACAGCATGACGAGCATAGACGAAACATACAAATCATTCGCTTTCCTCTCCACCACCATCCTCTGCAAACAAGGCCAACAATTGATCATCCATTTTAAACTTAATGTTTCATTTAAAAGAGAGTGAAATGGACTCTCACCGTTGTTGGACTCTTCTTCGCTTTGGCTTCCTTCCTCAGCTACTTCTTCATTACCTTCTTCTTCTTCGTTCTCCTCTCCATTCTCTGACTCTTCTTCATCACTCTCGCTCTCGCTTTCACTTGTTATTTTCGGCTTTGGAGGAGGTGCAAAACTTGTCGTTGATCTCCTTCTTGAACTCGATACAATGTTGCTTGTATCAATACCCTCAAGCTCTTTTGTTCTATCTTTCTTTTTCTTAACTTCTTTAATCTCTGTTAAAGTAAACCACATAGTTTATTCATAATATGTTTACACATGATCTAATCTTCCCACATACTACAGTGATCAGCATGCTTAAAAGTGTTATGAATCATGATCATCGCAAGTAGATTGGATACAGATTTGTTGCAAACATTGAACTCATTAATAAAGTGTATAATCTTCCTTCCAAGCAAAAAAAGAGATCATTCTCAGCATAGCATTACCTTTCTCTGAAGGATCTGAAGACAGCCCTTCTTTGGCAAGTATCTGCTCAAGTTCTTCTATTAAAGTAGCCTCACGTTTCTCTTCCGGAGCCTGCTTGACTTTCCTGTATATGATAGGAGGGATACTGCCAAGAAAAGAACAATAACAACAACAACAAAATCTGGAATATGAACCGACATAGAGATTTTTCAAAGATCTACAAAGTTTGATAAAGAACCTCATCCCGCAAGATTTGATAACTGATTTGAGATGATCGACACGCTTTCCATACACAGTTGTTGCAGTCTGCAGAATAATACAAACGCAGAAACATAATGGGTAAAACTGTACAAGGTATTTAATAGGACTACAGATATGATTTACAACCAATATGTTATACCTTCGAAGGTTTAACTACCCTCATTCCACTATCTCCTGCATCACTATCGTTCTCTGAATCTGAATCTGCTTCTGTATCTTTTGTTTTCTTTTTCCCAGCCACCGGTTTGACATTTTCAATTTTTCGTTTTCTATTCTGGGTCAGTGTCTTCTTCTCAGGCACTTCGTCAGCATCTGAATCAGAATCATCTTCACTACCTAGCTTCTTAGGTGGTGTGCTCTTGACATTTTTCTTTACACTTTTCGAAGTAGGCTTAGTCGAATGTTTTGGAACATCAGGAATTTGCAGAACCTAATTAGCCAATAAAACTATCAGAAGACTGCCTCCTAGTTTTAAACTCAATTTAGCCTACTCACATCATCTAGTTCTTTGTTAATGAACTTCTTGAAGGGAACAAGAGAATCTTTCTTTAGTTTAAGATCTTCCTCCAAAAGCCGACGAAGTGAAGCCATTGTGATTTCCCTGAAATAAAAGCAAGCAAGCCATTACCAAACAAAAAAAAAAAGAAAGAATTTGTCCTCATGAAAGACGAGAAGTTACTCTGAATTAGCCTTAATATAAGACGTCCTTTTACGAAGGGCTCTCTTTATATCACTCATCAGGGCTTCATCACCAGTTTCTTCCCTTACATCTTTCTTCACCTGATTCTCCTCAGATGCATTTGCTACTTCTTTGACTGGAGTCGCATCGTCAGTTTCCTGAGGGTTGTTATCTGAAGCGCCATCACCAGGATCCTCTAAGCACTGCCATGAATAAAGCAACATATGCACTGCTCTCAAATGGTTCAGCGAAGAGTGAAACAGTATACACAAGGCGAAGGTACCTTAACCAAATGCTCTTTGACAAAGCTCTTATGCGCATCCAAAGCATATTTCTCTAACCCCATATCTTCCTCCAGAAGCCTCCGCACACTCGCGAAGGTCACGGAGCTGCAAATATTTGACAACGATAGTTAGTTAATGTACAAAATCCAAGAGCAAAGATTTCCACAACCAAACCCTAATTTCAACGGACCACAGAGACTGAAATTCCCAAACAGTGAAACCTACTCATTTTACACACTGTAAAGTAAGTTACGAAACGAAACAGGGTTAAAAGAAGAGATTGAGATCTCTACTCTGCTTTGTTTCTGAGGTAGGTTACGCGGGATCGCATAGCTGCAAGAATCTGGAGCTCCATATCTGTTGTATCCGCCTTGTTCGAGTCAATCTTAACGCAACTTTGGTTCGCCGTCTCCGTTGTCTCCATAGCCGTAACCGCCGTTTCGCCGGACATTTCTCGCAGCGCTAAGTTTAGGTAAACACAAATGGGTTCTCCCCCTGTAAAAATAAAAATAAAAATAAAAACTAAAATCTCGGCGCCTGAGAAAACGACAAGATGTTTATAGAAACGGGTAAATAAACCGAATAAAAAAACTCGAACCAAACTCAACCCTGATGATAAAGATAAAACCCAAATCAACCGAAGCGGATATAATTACCAAATGAGATTTTCTCTTTTTTTTTTTCTTTGCTCAACATCTCATTCATTTATCTTTTTTTTTTTTTTGATACAAATCTCATTCATTTATCTATAACAAAGGACAAACGGAACCTTACTCTAAAATATCATGCTACCATCTTAGGTAATGAGTTGCTTTTTAAGTTTTCTTTTCACCCAAGGTTATTTCTCACTTGTGGCATATATATTCATGGAAATCGATAATGTTTGTTGACGAAATTGCCCTTAATGAAGAAAACCAGATTTGTGACTTTGGTTGGTGAACGGTTACGATGTAATAAAGTTGTTTGTTGGTTTAGACTAGTTAAGTCTTTTTTTGCATTTATTAGGTTTCTTGTGTTGATTATTGTGCAACATTTATCCCACACAATGAGAAAAAGTTATTAATCCGACGGCCGCTATTGATAAAAATCTAGGTAATACATGACATGAATTTATTGTTTATTCTCGTAGGATTCAGATTAAGTTTGTTTTGTTTAAAACTGGTTTCTGTAATTGAATACACTAAGGTTCGTTGTACTTATCGTGGTCACTTGATTTGGTAATGTAAGAACTTGTTTGATGTTAGAGTTTATTTAGTTTACTGTTTGTCTTCTTAAGTTATTTAATTGTGAGATAGTTGCACTTGTGGATGGCTGGAAGCGCGGACATGAAGTGAAAGACATGTCAAGTTAGATGTCCTTACAAGTGGAAATAGAGGAGTCCTTAATAAGGTAGAAGAGCAATGACTGAAAAGGATCTCTTTTTCTTTTGCCCGAACTGAAAAGGATTTCTTAAAAACATGAAGTAGAGAAACATTTGTTGCTCTGCAACTACAAAAAACTCCATATAAACTGCCATTTTTTCCCAATCAGACAACAACAAAAGATACATATAAAGCCGAGAACTACAAAATGAAGCAAGGGATATTTTGTTGACTTCATGTGAGCAGGGAGCTTGACTTCAACTTCTTCTTTCACCTTGGTGGTGCCTCGTCCATCCTTGAACCAATCTCTTGGTTAACCTTCATCATATTGTCTTGGATCTTTATCTCCTCATCTATCTTCCCTATCTCTTTATCCACCTTTCCTAACCAAGCTTTTTGTAAGTCTAGCTGATCCATCACAGTCTTGGAGAGTTCTTGCAAGTCATGAAGAAGGTCCAGTCACTATGGACGGGTGAGCTGTGGACATGTGAGCTATGGACCGGTGAGCTGTGACCGTAATGTTCTGCATTGTATTGGCTGACCACATGAGAGTATGGGGGGTCATCTTCTGATATAATGCAATGTCGGTAATTTTAAACTGAGGTCTCCCACAAATATGTTGAAATAACATGAATCTCATGGAAATAAAAAGTAACGAGTGTCCACACTTTTCCAGGAATAAAAAATATGTAACTCTTAGAAAAAAATCAAAGCTCACTTGATGTATCTTCTCTTTGACCAGTAACCCAATTGAATTGTAGGATGTCTAAAGGAAGTATTAAAAGCTAAGTGGAGCATTGAAAGAATAAAGAGTTGGATATGCTCGTCCAAAATAAGTATTCTTGATACATTTAATTTAGGCAATTATTTGCTATGCTCGTTCAAAACAAGAATGCGGATTTCACTTTGTGTCTTAACAAGTTGATGAGTCTAGAGAGAGAATAGTCTTATAAAAGCTAATACCTTTAGGAGCATGTTCTTCTTCTTGTGTAGACAAATGGAATCTTGCCCGAATCCATGTGACCAAATATCAACATTTTGTAATGCATACTTGTCTCTGTTAAGACAATGACAAACAATTCAGAGTAAAAAAAAATAGAATCTTTTTGAATAGCCCAGACCAGTTTGCTTCTTCATAACAAGATAAAAGGTCTCTCTTTTAGAAAACAAGAGAAAACTGAAATGAAATAACGATTGAGACCTTAGACCTAACAACAACAACCACAACTAGAAAGATTTGAAGTGCTTAGAGATTTGCATTGAGATGATGACCTGCAAGGCGTATAGAGGCTTGGAGAAACTCATGATCGGGATCGCCAAGGGAGGTGGAACTAGAAGCGCAACAAATAGGAGACAACTTAAGGGAGCGGTGAGAGCATAGCAATCTGATATTCAATTTCAGTGGGATGCAACCTCGAAAGGAAGATGAGGGAGAGGGAGATGAGAGTGAGGCTGAGATATAACAGGGAAAGGCCATGGAATCGGAGAAAAAAAGAATCAGAGGAAGAACCATATGAGAAAGCAACTTCGGACATTATGGTGGTGGTTGAGGAGAGAGAAAATGTGAAAGTTCGTTTTGTTTTTGTGCCTTTAAGATGGGAATCTGAAAGTTAGAAGTTTTATGTAGAATTAGGGTTTGCAATTTGGTAAAGGAGAAGTCAGAGGAGAGATATGTTTGAATAACTCAAGTTAAAGGGGAGGCTGGTTCTGTCTCTGATTAAAAGGTGTTGATATCTTTTACATCTAATAATGTGTGTCTCAAGTACAAAGTGGCTTTGCCTGCAATAACAAAGTCATAAAATGTCTTAGAAAGTAAAAAATTCAATTTCTATTATAAAAATCATTTTCTTTTCTATTTCTTTATTTACAAAACATGTATAAAGGTACAAAAGCCTCAATAAACTTTCAATATTACTGATCCAACACACCAATGTCGAATCTACCCATCCAAATAAAAGAAAAAATAAATTATTTTAAACCCTTTTTTAATCCTAAAACAAAATATCTCAATCTCTTTTTCTCTTGCTCAATTAGAGTCTTTTACATCTGACTCTTTCACCTCTTTCTTCTGCAAATAGTGGCAACGAAATCTTCAAGGTGAGTGATACTAAGACTAAGAGCATCTTTAATCCTAAAACCCTATTTGGGGTACTTATTTTTTTCTGATTAAAAAAAATTAAAAATGAAATAATCGCGGACCGCCATTGTTAGTGGGGCCGCGACTGCAAGCAACTCTTCTCGTTGAACTTTTATTCCCAGTTTGCTTGCAGATGGCTTACGCCATTAACGATGCGAAGCAGAGATGATGGAGACCGGTGAAGTTGAATGTTAGACGGTTGAAAAGGTGACGAATCCTGACTTCAGTAGGTCAGAGGTTGAAGGGGAACGGTAACAGATCTTGTTAAGGTGGCGATGGGAGGACGCCTGTCTTCAGCGACTGTGGCGTAGTTGAATTTCATGATTAAACTAGATTTTATGCTGTGGGTTCGTCGGAGAAAATCGATGGTGAGAAAATTAGTAAAACGTTTAATCATGTAGTAGTCAGAATTTTACGAAAGCTTATAATGGTTTTATATAAATTATGTAAATGAGAACTTATTCAACAATATTACAATTTTTGTATTGCTAATTTGTAATACTAATTTTACTCCACGCGGATATTAAGTTTTTAGAAATTTTAAAGGGAAATTGCGGTAGATAACAATAGAAACATTTTTTATTAGCTAAATGGACAAACTCCTGTGTACTTTCAAATAATACCAAAATTGTCCCTACTTCCCTATGAAACGGATGTATTATCTTGAAAAAAGTTCTCTCAGTTTTTTTCTCCCTTGCCGTTGGTACTCTTGTCCGCCATGAGTTCTCCGCAGTCAATGGTTAATATAGCTGCAGTGGCCGATGGTGTTATCTGAAGCATCGAGGTGGTTACTTGGTGCCCCCAAAGTTCTAGACTTTTGTTTCTTATAGGTCTAGCAGAAATTGTTAGTCACTTGGACTTTTATTGTGGCCTCATTGGATGGTGTTTCTGGGATGAGGGTTAAACAAATTTTGGGGTCCTATACCATGTTCTAAATTTATGTCTGGTCCTATCTTTCAAGTTCTTTGGTTTTATTGTTCCCAACTATCCTTATTTTAGTTTCTTAAGGAAGTGAATGTGGTCTTTGCCTGAGATTTTGTATTTTTCTGTCTTTAGTTTCCCTAATGTGGAGTGTTATATTCAGGAGATATTATGTTTATCCGCCTGTTTAGTTTCTCAATCCTTTGGATAGTTTGAGTTGAGGTTAATGATCATGTTATAAGTTACAGATTAAATATATCTGGTTACATCATAATCTGGTTATATCCAGTGACCATATTTGGTCATTATTGGTTTTACATGACCGGGTCATTCGTTCCAAGTGGTTTTTCAAAAGAAATGTACTAATATATGATTTGAGAATTTGTATATAGTCAGTCATCGAACAAATGTGTATTTATCTATTAAAATATATCCAGATATATTTTAATAGATATTGTTACATATCTGGTTATAGCACAACATAACCGGATACACATCTATTAATGTACTGCTAGTATTAGATCACGACATAAAATTATTGCTATATAGTTTTTGATTTCTGTGAAAGATTTTTTACTTATCCGGATAAAATATAGTTTTTTAACATGTAAATTAATTAAAAAAATTTAGTTGACAATAGAAAACCAGTTACAATTTAAAAAACCTGGATATAACATCAAATATCTGGATATTGAATATTTATACTATGATTACTAAAAAACTATTTTTTTTGAATGATCCTAGTTTTTCTCCGAGTTATATCTCCCCAAGTAGTTTATTATTTTCATTATCACACTCGTATGTTCATCTTAATTATCCATCTTTAATTTGATGATAAGCTAATGGTTTTATAATGTTTCAAATTAATGAGAACGCTAATATTTTCCACAAGTTCTAATTTCGAAATCATACAAATATTTTGGTGAACACGTTCTTCAACTTTCACCACAAGTTCACATCTATTTCAAGCCATACAATTTGATTACCAAGTGAGAAGCAATATCTATGACATATCTCTGCAAAGAGAAGACGTCATATACTCTCTATTCAGTTTAGGCTACTATAGAGAGGTCTGTTAGCTTCTATGGAGGTCACTTACGTCTTTTTTACTAAAAAAAAAAGGCTAATCTCCTAATTACCGAACAAATTTTGTATATTGACCTAATTGAACCAATTTTAAATATGAAATACATAGTAGGGTCCTGTTCGTTTCTCCATTCAAATGATCCATTCGAATGGAAATGAACTTTCTGTTCGTTTAGACACAAAAAGAACAACTCATTCGGATGGATCATTTGAATGATTTTCAAAAAATTAGGTTTCATTTCAAAAACCAGTTGACTGAACCGATTTGAATCATTTGAATGGAACTGGTTCAGTCAAAATATCGAAATGTCGATTTACCCCCTCACCAAATTCTGAAATTACAAACCTAAAGTGTAAATCTGTCTCTCGTATCTCTCTTCGCCGTCGACATTTTCTCTCTCTCTCTCTCTCTCCATAGCTTGAGCTCTCTCTCTCTCTCTCCACCATAGCTTGAGCTCTCTCTCTCTCTGCTGCATCTCCTCTCCGTCTCTCTCTCTCCATCACGTCTCTCTCTCTCACTGCAGCTCGCTCTCCGCCACGTCTCCTCTCCACATCTCTCTCTCTCACCGCAGCTCACTCTCCGCCTCTCTCTCAGGTATATCTCTCCGAGTCTCTCTCTCTCTCTCTCAGGCCACACTTCTCTGAAATCTCGTGATGGATTTGATTATGATGGGTTTGATTGTTCTCTAATTTGCTTATCTCATAGCTTGTGAATCTTAAGGAAGAGATCTAGTGATGGTTTTGATTGTTCTCTGATTTGCTTATCTCATTGCTTGTGAATCTTAAGGAAGAGATTTAGTGATGGGTTTGATTTTTCTCTGATTTGCTTAGCTAAGCTTAGCTTATCTCACTAGTAGAATCTCATAGCTTGTGATTCTGTTGTGGGTTTTGTGTGTACATATAAAAATATGAAACTGACATTGAGTGGTGAAGCTTTTATAATGTAGATATGAAACGGATGCATCTTAGAGTGTCTTGTAGATATGCGAAAGACTGGTTTACATTGTATATGCATGTGGGTTTTGGTTTGTGTACGCTCTTAACCCTCCGTGATCATTGTAAACATGTGGAAATGACATCTTCACAATTCTGCATTCAGCGCTGATGATTACTATGCTAGATTCTAATTGTATATGTTTTTGTTTCGATTAGCTTTGGTTTGGTTCTTGTGAAATGAGTGTACTTTGGAGTCTCTTCTCTTGTAGATCAACTTGTGAGTAAAACTTCATATTGTCGTATTAGTTCTCTGAATCCTTCATTGATTTTGTTCCCTTTTAGGCTCATAACCATCAGTGATCATTGTACGCATGTACATAACTATAACTACGTTAAATTCTATAGTATATGTTTGACTTGAATGTTTGTGTTCATACGCTGATGATTCTAAACGTATTCATATTTTATGTTACGTTCTATAAATTATACATGTTGAATTGAGTTTTTACAATAACAATGATCGAGAATTTCTGTGTACTTGTGTCTATACCTTTGTCTTTTAGTCGTACATAGTCGATGAAGCTTGGAAATATGTTGAATCAATATGTCGAGTTATTAGAATGTGCAACTTATCTTTCTTGAGTTTTTATGATTGATGTCACATTCAAGAAATTAGTCTTATCTTAAATCTAGTTGTAAGCTTTTATGCGCCTATGTTTCTTGTTTATTTATTGATTTTACATGGTAATGCAAGGTTCAAGTGATTGTTTTTTTAGGTAACGGAACATGATTATCTTTGTTGTTCCTTCACTTATATATAAAGGAACATGATTACTTTTGTATTGTTTCTTTTACATGTGCTTAGCTTGTTGTTTCTGGAATACTTTTGTTTTGTAGTCTCATATGCAAAGCTTGTTGTATGTGACTTGCAGATTATTTTAAAATGACTTCAGTTCCTGGTAGTGATGTAAGTACAATTTTTAGTTATAAGACATTGAATATTTTTCTGTTATAAGAGTCTTTCATATTGAATATTTGAATGTGAATGTTATAAGAGTCTTTCATGGACTGATGAGCAAACCCGGTTCTACCTCCAACTGAGACTTGAGGAAAAGTTGAAAGGAAATGACAGAAAAGGAAATGTCAATGAAGCTGGGAGACAGAACATCATCGCCAAGTTCCACGAGGCTAATGGGGAGAGGCACATTTGGATAAAATTTGGAATCAAGCACACTACATGCAAAACCCAGTATGGTAAATTTAAGCGGTTGATTCAGAAGAGAACCGGAGTTGGCTATGACTCATCTGGGTTCATAGACATGTCCGATGACTGGTGGGATCAACTTTGTAAGGTACAGTCTTTTACAATTCTGTTTGCCATTTTGCTTGTTTGAAGA